TTACTTTAAGGTACTGTTAATAAGTTTCTTTAAAAAACCTGTAGAAAGGTATCTAGTTCTCCCACGTATATATGTTAGAATCTCAGTCTCTTATTTTGTTTGGTATTGTCTATTTTGAGTTTTCTATCGAAGGTCCATTAAAATTTTCACAAGCAATATCCATGGAGATGCTTTCATGATACTCTTTATTTTGGTGACGTTTATGCTATAAAGATCTACGATTTTCCTCTCTATATAATTAATAGTGTGTTTAACAAGGCAATTGTATCAATATTATCTACATCATTTTAATAAATCTAAATAGTGATTAAAAGAATATCTTTAGTCTATGAGACCTAATACCCCTTAAATAGATATAAAATTATAATGTACAATCAAAGACAGATACAAAAAATATATTTCGATAACTTAAAATATCACTTGTCATCCAATCTTTAAGAGAAATTCTCTTGGCGAAGTCATAAGTCTTTATAGAAATAGGATTTTAGAAACTATCTTGTTTTAGTCAAATAATTAGATTTATAAGAATAAAATGTTATCTTAATATGATGAAAATAATTTAATTTCTTATTTGGTAGTTTGAAGAACAAGATGGAAATATACTTAGACTTATAAGTGAACTAAATTATTAATTTTGTTTAGCTAAAAGAGATGCCACATGGCTAAGAGAGACATTTTCTCTTCTAATCCTCTGTCACAATCAGTTTTGAGAAGATATATTCTTCGAAAATGGATTAACATGAAAGAAAAAGCCTTAAAGATTTCTACTCACTTCAACTTAATCTTGAATTCTCCACTTGATACTTGTAGATAAGCCCATGTTCTTCATGGTTAGTACATTTTAATGAATAAGTAAAAAATCTCTTATAATATCAAAATGTGTTTTTGAAACTAGTGAAGTGTGTATTTTAAACTTACGTGTAAAATATTATAGAGACCATAATTTAGGTATTTTCTTAAAATAAAAGAAGTTAAAAATTCATTTGACTGCAAAGGTTTTGACCAAGCCAGGGGTAGGGGAGAAATAATTTCTCTAATCTTAATACCTTCAACCATGATGAACAAGGAGGAAAAAAGAGAATTCTTCAAGGCATTTTGGTTTATCCCTTAGGGTCTTTCTTAAAGCTCATTATTACAAGAAAATTACACATGCCTTGTAGAAGAGAAACATGGAAAACATTTGAGTTGTCCGCTCTGTATTGCTTAAGAGTCGAGTCATATACTATATAATTCTTATTTGAACTCATAATAATAAACGCTAAAACACCTCATAAAAGAAAAACACATTATACATAAACGATATGAAACTAAAGACATAACAAAAGCTCTTAGTAAGGTTATGCCCTAGCATAATATAGTGCCACCAATCTTGCCTTATATATATGAAATTATTAGAACTCTTCCAAGTCTCTCTCCTTAATTATTCTGATTGCTTCATTTTAGTACTTAAACATCATACCTAATTGGTTAGTTAAGTCTCATATTATCTTTATCTTTTTTTATTATGTTATTTTTATTATCTATAAATATATTTTGTAATTTCTCCTTCATTAAACCTTTAGTTTTTGCTAGAGAAAGAAGTCGGTGCCCTTATTTGTATCCAATAATAATTTTTTCTTCTCAATTTATAATCAGTTTTCATTGTTTATTCAATCTTTATGTGTATTGTTGTTTACCAATTAATCTTTCTTTTTTGTGTTTCTCCTTAGGTGAAACACATATTAGAACTTGAAGGATAATCGACCTCTGAGAGGAATGAGAATCATATCATTTCCTCTTATTTTTACTGCCTCCCTTTGGCTCATTTTCTTATGTTCTTTGGCACCTCCTATATAGTCTTCCACTTTTCCATTGACATGCAAGACCCTTTCACTAGGGTTAATCATAGGCTACGATGACTCCCACCTTTTTGAATCATGGTTATAAACACAAATGAGTATGAAGAGCTAGCACATACCTCAATATCGCCCATGTTCCACAAAAAGTTTGTGGTCAGTAAAATCTCTCAGTAACCAAGCCTGACGCATTTACTTCCACGGGACTAGACACAACAATATCATTTAGATTTATATTAAAAATAATAAACTTTGAGTTTTTAGAAAATTTTCAAATAAAATTTGAATAATGAGTTATAATTTTTTATTAATTTTATTAAAAGTTAGAATGGAAATTTCTTACAAATTTAATTGTTATAAATGGTTTTGGATTTTATATTTTTATCTACAAAATTATAAAGTAAAAACTATAAAAAAAAAATACTCTTTATGTGTGACTCTTTGTAAAATCAATGTTTTTCTTTTAAATGCTAAAATAATTAATAAGGTATTAACATATTGTGACCATTTAAAAAAGAATACATAATTGACTCAAAGTATTATGTTGATGGAAATCATAATAATATTAACACTGACAAAAAGAAGATTTCTAAGGGACTTGAATGTGTTTGACTCACCAGAAGGATTGTATATATATATATATATATATATATATATATATATGAACACACCCACCAAGGCTAATGCTGCATGCCCATAACACTACAAACTATTAATTACTTCACCCAAATCTTAATTAACTAATTAATTAATTAATTAACCAAAAGTTTTCAACTTTAATTAATATTGACAGAATGTTCCCTTTATTTCTCTCTACAGTGCAAATACTTTCTTGGGAGACAACCTGCAAAGTTCAGTCTCTGACTTTGTCTTTGCCTTCCACTTTTCATTTGCCTTTTGTAATTTTAAATATTTAATTTCTCATGCACCAATTTAATGCTTTATTTTTATTTTTATTTTTATTTTTCACAGTATAATTTAATTTCTTTGACTTTTTTTATATAACTTTTTCTCTCTCTTTATAAATTTACCCTACCTTACAGTGTCCCACAAATTTTATAATGTCTTCCAGTTATTATTATTATTATTATTATTATTATTTCTTTTATTAATGGCAGAACCATTTATAGGAGATGAAGAAGAGATATGTTTGGTTGTGAGAGAAAAGAAGTCTTAACTTGAAATTGTGGTAACCTTATAAATTTTAAAGTTGTTCCTAAATTATGTTTTCAAATGGAATATTAAATTGCATTAAAAAAAAATTATAAATTTTACACTTTTTTTTTTGTCTCTATAATTTTTGTTTTTTTTTAATATTCAGAACCAATTTTAATGAATTAAATATGTCACTTCCTCTATATTACTTGATAATTAATGAACCTTAATTCATTGATTATTTTCTTCCTATTAAAATTAATGATGATTTTATATTTGACCATTTAATTAAATATGTTATTTATGTTTTAACATATTAAAAAAAAATTATAATGAATTAAATACAAAAAGTTTGGCAATTTAAACATTAAGATGATTTTTTAAAAAAAATTTATATAATATCGAAAAGTTTAAAACATAAAATACAAGTTTTTCTCGAAAGCACTACAATGACATTTGTGAAATCTTAAGTAACATCATATTCATAATAATACATGCTTGCTCTCCTTCTCTCTCTCTCTCTCTCTCTCTCTCCACGTAGGTCATAGATAGGTCATAGAGAGATACCAAAGATGTATATGTATTATCTCTTTGGTGGGCAAAGTACTATAAAACCATAGTCTGCTAACTGTATGCTATCCAGTATACAATCCCAAATCTTCAACCATGACAGATCCGTACTCATCAAACCTCTTCAATGGCTGGTTTAATTTCATACCTTCTCATCACCCTTACTATTCTTCTTCTTCTTGTTATCCTTTCTCTTCTAATAATAATTATAATTGTTACTCAACAAACGCACCGATATCTTCCATTACTGTTCCATCTTCTCCTCCTCTCAGGGAAGCTCTTCCTCTGATCAACTACTTGAATTCCACAACACGATATCAGGACCAGCAAGAACATTCAAGCAGTAATTCCATGGAGGAAGACAATAAGTGCAAGATCATGAACAGAGGTGCAAAAGAAAGCTTCCTTTTTTCTTCTACTGAGGAAGATGAAAGTGGTGTTGCCCTACAAATTGGTCTTCCAAGCCCTAGTTCTGATTTGGGTATCTCCCAATCTGATCCAGAGATGGCAGATAAGGAAGTAAGTGCGGTTTCTGAGTACCCTTTTGAAACACTAAACAAGGGTCAGTATTGGATTCCTACCCCTTCTCAAATTCTCATTGGTCCTACTCAATTCTCATGTCCTGTTTGCTACAAAACCTTCAACAAATACAATAATCTTCAGGTAAAATATACATATAAATTGTCTCTTATCTCTCCAAATATTGCATGAAAAGTTTCACTAAGTGACCACTATATATAAAAACCTTTTCTTTCATTTCTGTTCTTTTTACTAATTTCTTGTTTTTTTTTTCTTTTGATCTGAAATTTGGATATTGGCCTTCCAAGTGAATAAAAAAACAGTGTTTGTGTGTGTGTGTGTGTACCTATACACATCTTATCTTCCAGTATTGCGTGAGATATGAGTACTATAAGCCCTTTCCTTTCACCTTCTCTCTTTGGTCATTTCTGTTCTTTTCACCCTTTTCTATTTCTTGATTCCCTTTTGACCTGAAACGTTGTATATGTCTTAGCCATTAGTTTGAGTTACATCCATGTCACATTCAATGTGACATGAAAGCTACATAGAGAGTCTTTTTTATTACCCCACTTGTTTCTGATTTATTTTCTTTTTTACTTTTATTTTTCTGGATTGGTTTAAACTGTAGAGATGAAAGAAGAATTTCTCTCATTCTGGCTTTATTTGTCTCTTAAGTTTTCTTTTCTTTCTGCATGCTTCTCGGTTTCCAGATCCTATCTGGACATAACTGCATGACTCTGGTTCAAAATAAGATTTCCATTAGTAAATTTAATGACCATTTTTCTTGTTTAATATGTATATATGTATATATATTTACATATATGTACGTATGTATAACTAATGAAATTATATTTCATCGGGGTTTTGATATATTGAATATCGTGCAACACTCAGTTGCAAATTAATGGAGGGTTAAAAGTAAAGAGACTCATGATAAGATTTGACAGTGCTTTTCCAGGGTCTTCAGATCATGATCATCATCAACAAAATCTCAGTATCTTATTCAGTCTGTTAACAAACAAAAAATTGCAGAGAAAAATTTACGGTGATCATCTTCTTTTCTCATATGTCTGAAAAAGAAACACCCTGGAAATCAGATGAGTTTTAACTTTATAAGAATAAGGAAAATTTCATATCTTGCTGTTTCACACGCCAAGTGAACGTTCATGATGTATCTACACACACATAATTAGAATTGAAACTGTATAAAATATATATGATTAAAAATATCTATACTAATTAATATAGCCTGAAAGATTAATAACATGAATATCATGATCACTTTGCTGCAGTTCTTATATATCATGAGTAAATTGCCACTTGGAATATTTACCATATTTTAATTCAATTTCCAACAATGAATTATTTCATTGTTGCTCAATCTCTTATTCTTAATATTATCAGCTTGTTCTATTAGTTCATGCATTACATACTTAAGTATATGCATGCACACACAAGACGTTTATGAATGTGTTATTTATTACACATACATATGCATTACCAATTTATGAATGTGTTATTTATGAGTTCTCAGTCTTATTTGGAGATCTATCAATATATAATATGTTTCGTTTTCATTTAGTAATTTCCTTTCCTTCATATAAATTTCTATTTATCATTGATTTGCATCTAGCTACTGTCCTTTCTATATATATATATATATATATATATATGTATAGACATTAGATCAGTCTATAATTTTTGCATTTGGGTGTAATACGCTTCATTTCTATTTAGTAATTTCCTTCATATAAATTTCTATTTATCATTAATTTGCATCTAGCTACTGTACTTTCTATATATATATATATGTATAGACATTAGATCAGTCTATAATTTTTGCACTTGGGTGTGTTTGCTTATGTGGGTGGGTTTGCTTATACATCTTTAGAGATGTATATATATATATACACACCCAATATATGTATAACATATATATAACATTTTTGTTAAAACTGTGTATGTATAGATGCATATGTGGGGACATGGTTCACAATACAGAAAAGGACCAGACTCCCTAAAAGGAAGCCAGCCAACAGCCATGCTAAGGCTACCTTGCTATTGTTGTGCACCAGGCTGCAAACACAACATTGACCATCCAAGAGCCAGACCACTCAAAGATTTCAGAACCCTACAAACCCATTACAAGAGAAAGCATGGAACCAAACCCTTCACTTGCAGGAAATGTGGAAAATCTTTTGCTGTCAAAGGTGACTGGAGAACCCATGAGAAGAACTGTGGCATCATCTGGTATTGCATTTGTGGATCTGATTTTAAGCACAAGAGATCCCTTAAAGACCACATTAGGGCTTTTGGTTATGGTCATGCTGCACTTAATAATAATTGTGTTGATTTTTTCCTCCAAGAAGATGATGAACCCGCATCCGAAATCGAGCATGATGGTGAACAATCATGTTCAATGTGATCAGTGCGATCGAAGCAAACATATAATTCGATTCCCAGCTTAGTTATAACATTATATATGGTGCCAGTTGATATTTAACTTGGCTCAAGTGTTTGTATATAGACTTGTGCTCCCAATAAAGTTTTATAAAGTTTTTGTCTCGATTATAATTACATTACATTTGGGATATCCACCATAATCTTGATGGGGGAAATGCTGTGATCATGCATATTGATTAGTAATATGTAAGTAAAAGATCACACCACTTTTTTCTTTTTTAAATTTAAACCTTTGGAAAATTATTTCAACTATATTATTTATATAATATCATAACTAAAAAACCAAGGTTAAAACTTTGGAAACTTTGTCTTTTCTCTTATTATTTACTTACCAACCCTTTTTGTCTATTTTTGGGCCTAAACACCATGTATGGTTTGTATCTATAGCTCACATTTTAGTATTTGTTTCTTTTTGGGTTTCTTTTGTGTTAATTATAAGAAATTGGAGGCTATCTATTGCCTATCTTGGGTTTTCATTGGGTGCAAGACAAATATTGGTACAAACATAAAAGCCCATGTCTTTAAAGAGAATGTCAATCTCAATCTTGAATAAAATTGAATCTATTTTCAGAAGAGTTTTTTTTTTTTGGTGGTAGTGTTGATATGAGGAAGATCCATTGGGTGAATTGGAATAGAGTGTGTTTGAGTAATTAGTAAGTGGGATTAGGAGTTGTTAAGTTATAGGACATGAACAAGACACTATTGATGAAATGGTTTTGGAGATATGGCAAAGAGGGCAAATTCATTATTGAAGAGAGTCATTATAGGGGCACACAATTATCTAGGACTATTAAGTGGTTCTAACCTACATTAAACGCAATTTATATATATATATATATATATATAATTATATATCAGAGTGGTTTTTTACTCAGAATTTGGTGTATGTATTTGTGTAAGATTAAAAATTTTAAATTGACTTAAAAAATGGATAAAATATTATAAACAGAGAGGAGTATGGTTCATGAAAAAGCATGCGAAACAAGAAAAAAAAAAGTCGTGACACTTAGAAAAAACAGAAAATTCTTTTTAGGTGTGTGAAAATAAAAGACAAAATATCATAATTCTTTTATTACGATAAGTACTGAAATTTCACTCTAAATTACATTTTTATTCATCATACATTTAGGTAATTATCATTAACTCCTCGAGTTATACATAGGGTAAAGTTTTCGTTATTTCTATATGCAAGAGAGTTGAGTTTGTTTAAAAGTTTAGAGTTTATATTAGAGCATACAAATGAAGTAGGACCTTCATTTCCATTGTACCTGAGGTTAATATCACTAATCTTAATATTCTCGCACGACAAGGCACTGCTACAAGCAAAATTGGCCACCACCTTAACAAGTGAGGAACTCTTTAAAAAGAAAAACAAGACACATATAGCTAAGAAGTATGATCATAGTTTTAGTTTGAAATCAACAGATTATGTGTAACTTGTATGTACCTACCATTTGCCCAAATTATGAGACAGTACTGTTGATCCATAAATATTGGAATACTACCGTTTTCATGATAATGTCCTCGAAGTGTAACTTCGA